GGAGTCACGTAGATATTGGTAACATAAACATATTTGTATTTATTCGATGTTTTGGACGACATCTTAGAGTTAGACAGTCGATAAGGTCATTTTAAAACTTGTGAAGCGTGGGTCGAGTCGCGAATGACTATAAACACTACTACAAGAAGACCCATAAGATCTTCCGTAAGCCAAATATTAGAAGGCAGTTGATGGCTGTAGTCAAGATGTATTTGTTAGCAATCTCATGGTATCGAAAGTATACCGAGATCATGCCAAAGGAATACAAGCGTGGTTACCGAGCGTAACCAAACCCGTGCAAGATCACAATCGAAAGATAATGGAGCAGTAATATAGCTGTATTTAGCACAGTTAAACAAACGAACACCGTAAAACACACACTGATACAATCGGTTATAGTAATGATTGTTTCCATTAAATCAATCGCGTTCTCTTGGTAAAAGTAGGTCACTACACTTGAAACACGCAAACGAAGATCGATACCAGTTCACGTTTACAAACGTAGCTACACCGCCGCCACATCTCTTTTTATAGTTTTATAGATCCTGACGATAAATTTTGAAACCATGTAGTGATACTTGGCAATCGTCCTTTAAATCATTTAACCAAGATTATTGAATTGTGATGACACCACAATAATGATACATATTTTGACTTAATAAGAATTGTAGATAGCCCACTTTGTTGATTAATGAACGGCAGTTAGAATTTGGAAGCTCGGGAATCGACATACGAATAATATTCATTCTTTTTAACGTATATTACCAACCACCACAATGTCTTTTATAGTACTTTTTTGTAACTTGTTCAGCGAAAGATCGTAGGCTTTTCATAAACGTGCCTGTATAGGTTATGCGAATGATGGACATAATGAGACGTTAAAGCGAAGTGAAAAAACAGATAACTTGTTGAAATTATCAGATGGTAGTAACATGTAGCCCAGATATTTAAGCAGGCGGCCGTTCAAACGATAATACCGTTTGTGGCACAAGACCAAAGATCCATTTAAAATTAAGGCCTTTCCGACTTTATGAAGGGACCACTGCGACCAAACAAATATTCTAACAATCATTCTGAAGTGTTTTATTGATCAGTATTGCTATTACTTCAATCTTCTGTCCCGTCTTGAGTTTAAGTCACATCATTCTCCATATTGACTTGGTCTACTGTAGCAGTCACTGATGTAGTTCGTAAAGACTACATAGACAAATGTTGAGCGACGGATGATCATGCCTATATGACTGGGGAAAGAATTTTACATTACCTCTCAACCTGTGTTAAACGAGTAGTGTCAATCCTTCGAGTTTTGTATGTTTGACTTCAAGCGCCGTGTTGTTAGAATTCACGGTTACTTCACCGTCGCTGTGTTGTTAGTCCTTTCTGTAAAATGCAACTAAGGAAAAGTTTGGGTTACTGAATACTGGTTAGATGAAATCTCGACATCTGTAGGCCAGAAAGGTTTGCGTACAATTCCAGAAGAGTTTATGGATAAATGCTTGTTGAGAAATTTGTAGAATGCCTGAAATTGGATGCCACTAAGAAGTGCTGGTTAAATACGAGTCGTTTGGCCAGAAAATCGTGCTAATTAAAGTGCTCCAGCATACAGATGTTTGGGACCAGTGTCATTCTTCCTGTAAGTAGATTAGCTCCTTAGTTGCCTATTTTTATTGCTCTCCCTATATGCTGACAATATAAAAATATAAAAAGCTGTAAATAATCTAGAAAATGGTTAAGAACATTGGAGTGATCTCCAAAAATTATCTGAATGATCCAAGACTTGTTAATTGCCAAAAAATGCATCCAAACACACTACATTTCATTTTGGTCACCAACGTTCAGATAAATACACGGTAAATAATGTTCAGCTTTACTATTCTAGGACTCACAATGACCTAGGAACTGTCAGTCGAGACAATAGAGCCACCACCGTTTTCCGTGCGACAGCTGACAGGAAATGTGGAACCCTTTGTTCAGTGGTTAGAACATGTAAACCACCAACTTAGGCAGACTGAGCCGACGTTCGCGAGCCCACATGAGTTGGGCATGTACGGCATAACCTCTTTGCTCACATTAGACTCACACCTCGAGTTTGATACCTAACGTTGTTAAACCTTTCGTCGTATCCAGATGCTGCGACTACTTTAATTATCGTATGGATCAAACATGACACCATTACACCAGTGTATTAGTAAGAACGAGTTGAAGAAAGAGAGAAGGACCACTACTGAATAGATCAGTTCATGGCGTTCAGTTGATTGATGCGCGTTAGTTATCCCTTATATTGACAAGGACCAGGAGAACTGTTCAACATTCAGTGGCCTGACTATCGATGGTTTGACCGTAGCCCAACAAAACTTTATTGACCATGCAAAGCTTAAGCACATATTTAAGACAAGATTTTTGGGATTGTATGCAGTGTTTGTTTATCTTAAACTCTAGTACTGTATGTAAGTAACCAGCTCCTGACTAAACGACACAATGAAGTGTTGAAAAACGCTCAAATAGCCGTAGTCCATTTGATTCCTGAAATACCTAGGCTGATATACGGCGAGCGACCGCCTAAACCGGGCCTATTCTTCCTGTCTTATAGGAGGACTAAAGATGGCTTAATTACAGTCTATATCTGTGTGTTTTTGTTTTTTACCTTCCAAAACTAAGAATTTACAAGGATTCACCTAGGGGGTCCAGCAGACCAAAACTGCTCAGCTCAGTGGACAAGCGATTACTTGTCAGCTGAGAATCAACGTTCGCGTCGAACATACATAGAACATACAGTCTCAGCCTGCGGTTGAGGCACCATATGTCTTGGCGGTCAATATGAAGTTGGATAAACTGATATATTGATCGCCGGGATTAACTAAGGCCATCCGAATTCCCATCATTTCCAAGTCGAAAGTGAGAGTTCGTTCCAGTCATTCGTATTCATTAGAAACGTCAAGATGAAAAATCGACCTATATTAAATATTTTAATTCGTAGCACTGCCATGATCCGATTTCACTTCAAGTATATCAAATAAGGTGCTCATATTGTGTGTCCTGGTATAGAATTCCAGTAACTCACTACTCGGTGCTACAAATGCAACTTCACACGTGAATGATTTTATCCCAGCATTTGAACTTCCTTAGATTAGACGTATTCATGCCAGTAAACGGTAACACAGTATTAGGTAATCTCTAACCTGCAATAAGGTAACAGAAATAGATTGAGGCATCTCAGTATATCCTCATGAGATCGTCCAGAGAGGCCTAAAATTCTGGTTCCTAGCAGTCGAACTCATTCTAGCATATCCACTTCAAATTTGAAGCTAAGACTCACTGCTTGAAGCCCATATTCCAAATACAGACGTCAGGTATAATATCACAACAGTTCCTTTTTCCAAGTAATGAAGTGATTTACGAGAGCCTATGAAGCCCAGCAGAAGCACTGGAAGCAGACGTAGTGGTAACTGCGAAGATTCTCCACATTCTCTTCAGCAAGATTTCGGATGAAGAACAAGGACCAAGAGACTGGAAAAAAGGACACCTGACTAAGATATCAAAGAAAAGCGATCTCAGTAAGTGTGAGAACTACAGAGGCATCACTCTCCTGTCAATACCAGGAAAAGTCTTCAACAGGGTATTGTTAAACAAAATAAAGGACACAGTAGACGCCCAAAGTTGAGATCAATAGGCTGGATTCCGCAGGGATCGATCGTGTTCAGACCAAATCGCAACACTACGAATCACTGTGGAACAATCAATTGAGTGTAATTTATGACTCTTCATAAACTTTACTGACTACGAGAAAGCATTTGATAACGTGGACAACACAACACAATGGAAGCTTTTTCGACACTACGCCGTGCCCGAGAAAATAGTCGATATCATACAGAATTCCTATGATAAATTAAACTATAAAATCGTGCATGGAGGACAACTGACATACTCGTTCGAAGTAAAGATCGATGTCAGGCAAGGTTGCTTACTCTCACCCTTTCTCTTTCTCCTGGTGATCGACGGGATCATCAGGACGTCAACATCCGAAGGGATTCACGGGATACAATGGACATCTAGGATGCATTTGGACGATCCAGACTTCACGGATGATCCGACTCTTCTAACGCAAACGCAAAAACAAATGCAGGCGAAGACGACCAGTGTGTTGCCTTAAGTAGTGCCGTCCCACTGTCGTGTAACTAATCATCACATTTTCTTAGCAAATGAGTGTTTATTCAGATTAAAATAATTTTTCTGAATGAGTTGTTCATGGAACTTCCAAGAAACCAGGTGCCGTAAGCTACGAGTCGGCGTATTACTCAATAGAATCGTTCTTAAATATAAGCGTTCACTTGACGTCAACTGTTGTCTTGAAGGATCGACGAAAATATATCCTTCTGTACAAAGATGGTTGTTCACGGTCTTAATAGAGATGACTTTCAGCTCACCATTTCCTGCACGGACCCAAAATCCAGATTCACAATGGCAATATTTCGACCTGAAGGATAAATTCATTTGAAGTAAAGCATACGTAGATGACTGACGTCGTCTTTTTTGTCTAGGTTGTGGTAGCGAGTTAGAAGTTGTATGCTCATCGAAAGAATGATGATCACTATCATCATCTACATCCTCAACGCAAGCATCTGACTCTGACAAACTGCGTTTACGTCCATATGTACAGACATACCCCACGTAAAAATACTTTAGAGTTGTCTCATCACTGTTCTTTTTACATACTGACATAACGCGCTTAGTATGCATATACTACAAAAATTGCTAACCACAGAAGTCATATTACCTTATGTACTTTCTTCAAACAGGTCTGAGAATCGTCCCAACTAGTAAATCGTCGAGATAACATAGTACCATCTAAGATTCGTCCTAAATCATGCATCATCACGATGGCATCGTCTTCGTTACTTGAAGGATCGACATTATCAGACATGGTGTGGTTGAACTCAATTCAAACCTAAAAATGTCTTGATTTGACCGCTTCGATGTGACGCATCAATCATCTTGCGACAGTTTGACCTTCAAGTACTCACACTCTCCTCAAGTGGACGATACCCCTGAAGCGTTGCCGAGTATGTCTGTGTACTTATGTTCGTTGCTCAGATTTTGACGTTGATATTAGGCAATTAGATAATAAAAAGTAGGTAATCGTACGAAAGTCTATCAAAAAACGTGTGTAATCCATAATTAGCGTGCGAACAATACCGATATCTAAGAGGTGAAGTGGGATACGAACCTACGGATTTGTTCAAAGTGGTAGTCTGTTTGTATACGCGATTTTTCAATACTTTATTTATACCCACAGTTTTAAATTCACTTTTTGTACCGTACGTCAATTTTTTATTTTATACAAAGTTAAGGATTATTCCACTCAAAATTTTCAAAACAAAATAGATGCATATTTCGTCCTTGTGATTTGTACATATGAATGGTGGAGTCTTTAAAAAGTAAAATTGGTGAGGTGGAACTCTTATTGTCCATGTTTTCTGAAGATGAAATTAAGCTAGGAGACAAGAAAAGCTATTTAAATATCAAACGTCATGCAGAATTGAATGTTATTCCTGAAAAGACAGATGTCGATTTCGTAATCAAGGTAAGCTCTGGACTACTTAGTTCACAACCCCAACAAAAATGAGATATCTCATTGTAAACTCACACAAAATTCGTATTTTATGATTGTTTATCAAAATCTTCGGAATACATTTTAACCGTAACTAAAATTTTTGCTCAGTTCCTAAATTATTATGAATTTAATACAAACATTCGAATGTTTTCATAGCTGCTTCTCAGATTTAAACCTCATTACACCTACTTTTGTCATAAACATTGTCTAGCGTTATTAATGTCATTCACAATCAGTGTACTTCACAGACCTCTTCCACGACCTAAATTGGGTTGTTTATTCGTTTTTGAACTATAAAGTCTCGATAAATTTGTGATAGAGAGTTCATCGTTTGTGGTATATAAGTACCATTATTATACGTTATAACAAATTTATTATTATTTATTATTTTATTTATTAATAAATAATAATAAATTTGTGATTACGTATAATAATGGTACTCATATACCAAATGTAGATATTTGCACTAATTTTGAACGTCCTCTCTTAATGGAATTTGATACTATATGGGTGTACAATTGAATGTAACTAGAGGATACTCTGAAATTAGACCTACTTGTTGGAAACCTGACATTAACCTACAGCTAGATGCATCAGTTTAACTAAGTATTTTTTTTCTTCTTATTACTCAGTATTACTTATTCTTTGGGTGATAGCTTCTATCCACCCTTAAAAAAGTCACTGATCCTGTTTGACTGTTTGTACAACCTATATGATGTTCGATTTAGTCATAACGAATACATTCTCAGTCAAGATGTTTGAAATGCGCTTCTTTCCATCTAAATGCAAGTTGTTGCTTGAGGACTGGTCTGCGTCAACACCTGAACTAAAGACGGAGTGAAGCGGTCGAACGTTTTGACAACTTCACTTATCTTGGAAGTCCGATCAGCCCCAATGGGTTGGTGTCTAGCGAAATCTCTGCATGAATTCAGAAAGCTCGTTTGGTTTCTGCCAATTTACGTCACCTTTTGCGAGGGTGAGATATTCGTATATCAATTAAAAGACAAGTATATTGTGCGGAAGTTCGGTCTGTTCTACTTTATAGCTTTGAAACATGGCCATTGAAAGTAGAAAATACTCGTAAGTTACTAGTATTTGATCACAGATGTCTTAGAATTATTGCTCGCATCTGCTGGTATCACCGGGTAAGTAATAGTGAGTTTAGACACCGGGTATTAGGGAATGATGGTAAATCAGTTGATGAGGTTGTGAATCTTCATCGACTGAGATGGTTGGGCCACGTGTTACGTATGCCTGAACGCCGATTACCATGATGCGCAATGCTGACTAGTGTTGGGGATGGTTGGAGGAAAGTTGGGGGCGGTCAAACCAAAACGTGGTATCAGTGCTCGTAGTCATTAACTTCTAGTCTGAGCAATGTTGGTAGATGCAGACTACTTGGTCGAGGTCCACGTGACTATCGTAACCAATGGTTGGAGACTGTGTGACATGGCTCAGAATCGATCACAATGGCGTAGATGTATACACTCTCTGTCTTCCCTTAAACTATGAGATTAAAATCGCTTCATATCTTTCTTCCTACTAACTAATTCTTTCTCTCTGTACTGTGTCCTTATATGCAATCCTTGTTTTATATATTGCCATGACTGAGTTAACTACTTCTATGGATTCTGTGTTCATCTTGTTATGCTAATGAAATATGGCAACTTGGATCGATGCCATATATGTGCCTGGTTCTATGTTGTAGCTGACTGACTGACTAACATATACTTCATATTCAAAGCATGACTCTTCTGTTTAAACTTGGATTGTGCATTAGGATTTCGTAAAGAAACAGTCCAGTTTGAAATTCCTGTATTTTACTGAACCTACTAATTTGAATTTAAAGTAATTTATTCACTTATTCGTTCCACACTCCCATCTATATCAGCTTAAAAAGAAAGTAGAATTATCAGTTGTCCTACCCGATGGTTACCCTTCATGGAATACACATCATCCTGTTAAGCCACTAATTACTCTACGTTTGTTATCCGATAATTCAATTCTTGGCACAAATATACGTGAGTTATCCTCACGTTTTTATCATTGGCTTGATAAAATCGCAAATACTGGCGAACCAATCTTACTAGCATCCATAGACTGGCTTCAAAATGAGTTATTTAATGAATTACTAGTAACTAATGAAAGTGTAACATCTCTCTCGACCAATTCAATTTTGAGTAACAATGAGAAAATTGTTTGTTTATGGATTATTAGCCATCACATTCGAAGTCCAATAAAAAGACGTCTGATTTTGGAATGGTCAAAAGAATTAGAACTAACCGGCTGTTGTATGCCTGGGCGACCGGGCTTAGTAATTGTAGAGGGTGAAGAAACCAAGGTTAGTGATTCATTATGTCCTTCTTGTTAGATTATTTGTAAATACGTATGTTAATTAATAGAACGGTTCTCTCTCATAGCATATTTATTTATTTATTTAAACATGAACATTGGTACAAGGAGGCACCGAATAGATACGTGCTACGAAAACCATTAGATTTATGTGAGAGCCGGGATGCTACCCTGGTGCTCAAGCCAAAGGGGGTGGATTTCTTAGGAGTTCACACCCCGAGCCTCTAACCTAAAGGTTCAATCCACAAGGCAGTGGAGCAACGTCAGGAGATGCAGTCCCATGGTGGCTGGCGACCAACAGTTGGTTCATACGCCATTTGTTCCCGTAGGATCCTTCAGCCCATGTATACATTGGTTTGGAATCAGGGTTTTCCAACTCCCTTAGGTGAATCTTCCGTATCCACCGACCAGGTCAGAGCGCCGGACATTCGATTTTCGTCCTCTCGATTTCGCAAATAACACCTCTGTCGCGAGAAGGCAGTGAGTAGAACTTCTCTGTCAGTGGCTGTATCCACGTGGCTACATGACAGCATTTCTCCTATAGTAGACTGCTTCTGATAGTATCCGGTAAACGGACATTGAGTATTTTGTACAGATAATTGTTTATAAATACTTGTACCGTCTTGATGACGGTTGTATTAGTTCTCCATGTTTCAGCTCCATACAGTAGAACTGTCTTGACGTTCGTATTGAAGATTCTGATTTTGATATTGGTTGACAGTTGTTTTGAGTTCCATATGTTGTTCAAATATAAGAATGCTGCCCTTACCTTGTAAGTCCTTGCCTTTATATCTGTATCAGATCCTCCGTGTTTATCAATGAAGCAGTCCAGTCACATGGAACTTTCCACCTCTTCCAGAGCTTCTTCACTGAGTGTGATTAAGTTGGTACTACCCGTCGCATTTTGTGATTTTCGTTCTTCACTTTTAAATATTAAGGCCTACTGCTACAGAGAGGCTTCTGCTACACTGGTTGTCCTCACGTTCATTTGTTGGTGTGCATAGGATAGAAAAACTGGATCGGCTGCGAGGTCCAAATCGTCTAGTTTTATGCAAGCTATCCATTGCATCTCATTATTATTATTTATTTTAACACATAAATATTGGTACAAGAGAGCGCCAATATATATGCGCCACACAAAACAATGAAACTTCGAAGAGATAGAAAAAAAAAAAACAAGGAGCACAAAAGAGAACGATAACGAAGAGATTGGTGTAGGGTAGTGTGGTCGTAACGATGGAACGGAAAAGTACAATCAGAAGAAATCTTTCAAGTAAGGGAGACACAACCACTTTTTATGAAGAAAGTAAAAGAAGGTTACAGCAGGATCGCCACTGGCTTCTATTCTGAGCCATATCTGATAACGTCTCTAGCCACTGTGTAGCACCATCTCTCAGACCCCAACCAGGGAGTCGTGAAGAACCGGCAGAAGCCAGTCCTTTGCAGCTTTCTTTCATACCACGACACCATGTCATGCACTGACCACCTCTCCGCTTTTTCCAACCAGTCCCAGAGTCGGCAAATAATGCACGACGTGTAATTCTCTGGGACGACATTCGTAGAACATGTCCAAGCCACCGAAGTCGGTGTTTCAAGATGGTGACATCAATTGAATTATCATCTCTGTGCCCAAACACACGATGCCGAACCTCTGCATTACTGACATGGTGTTGCCACTGAATATCAGCAATCCTTCGGAGACAGCGATGATCGAACACAGAGAGTCGTCTAACGTCCTCAACTCGAAGTGGCCAGGTTTCACAAGCATAGAGCAAAACTGCTCTCACCGACGCGTTGTAGATCCGACCTTTTACAGCCAAACTAACATCACGAAGGCGCCAAAGATGGCCCAGATTGGCATAAGCCACTCGGGCTTTCACTATACGTGCAGTGATCTCATCATTGTATCTCATGCTTCAGATGAGATGTGGAGGTCTCAGCCGACCACCAGAAGAACTAGAAAGGAGGAGAGTAAGCAGTTTTGTTTGACCCCGGTCCTCACTTGGAATGAGTCTGTCAGCTGTCCTCCATACATGACTGCAGTGTAGTCGTTCGTATGAAATCCGGATGATGTTGACGTTCCTTCTGGGGTACACTGTAATTTAGTTATTTATTTGAACACAAAAATATTGGTATAAGAGGGCGCCTATATATATATGCTTAGTGCGACACCAACGCCAGCAAGACCAGACGAAGATGCCACAGGGTCCTACGAATGTCGTCCCAGATAATTCCACGTCGTGCATTATTTGCCGACTCTGGGACTGGTTGGAAAAAGCGGAGAGGTGGTCAGTGCATGACATGGTGTCGTGGTATGAAAGAAAGCTGCAATGGACTGGCTTCTGCCGGTTCTTCACGACTCCCTGGTTGGGGTCTGAGAGATGGTGCTACACAGTGGCTAGAGACGTTATTAGATATGGCTCAGAATAGAAGCCAGTGGCGATCCTGCTGTAACCTTCTTTTACTTTCTTCATAAAAAGTGATTGTATCTTCCTTAACTGAAAGATTTCTTCTGATTGTACCTTTCCGTTCCATCGTTACTACCACACTACCTTACACCAATCTCTTCGTTATCGTTCTCTTTTTCTTTTGTGCTACTTAGTTTTTTTTCTATCTCTCTTCGAATTTTCATTGTTTTGTGTGGCGCATATATATTGGCGCTCTCTTGTGCCAATATTTATGTGTTCAAATAAATAAATAATAAATACTATATATATGCGCCACACAAAACAATGGGAATTTAAAGAGAAGGAAAAAGAAAAAAGGTAAGGAGCGTAAAAAAGAACAATAACGAAGAGATTAGTATAAGGTAGTGTAATAATAATAATAATGATAATGATAATAATAATAATAATAATAATAATAATGGGGGAACGGAAAGGTACAATCAGAAGAAATCTTTCAGTTAAGGAAGATACAATCACTTTTTACGAAGAAAGTAAAAGAAGGTTACAGTAGGATCGCCACTGGCTTCTATTCTGAGCCATATCTGATAACGTCTCTAGCCACTGTGTAGCACCATCTCTCGAACCCCAACCAGGGAGTCGTGAAGGATCAACACAAGCCAATCCTTTGCGGCTTTCTTTCATGCCACGACACCATGTCACAGTCAAGGAAGTTGATGTGTGGTGGCGAATTCCGTTTAATTGATTGTTCAACAATAATCCGTAGTGTCGCGATTCGGTCTATGCGCAACCGATGCTTCTAGAATCCAGTTTGTTGATTTCGAAGTTGAGCATTTACTGAATCCTTCATCTCGTTCAACAACACTGTTTGTAACCCTGGAATCTAAATCATAGATGATAACAGTTCATGATCAAATAATTAAAGTACTAATTATTTCCAACTATCAACTGATCTATTGCGTTTGAATGTATAGTATTTATAAAGAGAATTATCTTTTCATCTAAAGAGCTTACAGTCTTTTTTCATATAATGTAAACTAATATTTAACTGATATTGTTTTATATATTTATTGTACATAATTTTATTAGGCTGACGAATACTGGAGAAGACTACGAAATTTACAATGGAAACATATACAACTTCGAGAAAAAGAAATACTTGGTATAGGTTTATATAGAGTTCGTCATTTTCAAGATGGATTTCATGAACTTACATTATCTCAACAAAGTTGGTTTTCATGGCTTCATGAACATGGTGTTACATCAGAAGAGTATAGACATGTTTTCGGAATTCCTGGTCGATTGCCTCAAAATGAACAACAATAGTAATGGGTCAGGAATTTGGTGATTAAATCATTTGGAATTCAGTCAATAGGTTGTAGGTTCGAACAAGGCCCCACCCATTTCAAATTCAAGATTCCATTAGTACACAAGTAATGCGACTGAAATCCAACTACACAAACTTGTAGTTGGTCAATGAACTAGAAATAAATAGAACGTGCAACCTGGTCAGTCAGTTGAATTTGTTACCTGAAAATAATGGAACAAACATTTGTATTGTATAGTGACTTGCATTTGGCCTTCACTATTTACAAAACGTAAAATGTTAATGTAATAATACTATTTTTGATATATAAGCTGCCCTTTCAACTTGTAACTTACTGATGATCTATTCATTTTGTACTACTGGTGCACAGGATCAAATGAAATGTAGTCAATTAGTTAAGCCTTTCATACCATCCGAACTTTACCTTTGACCGAATTCTATCATCAGTGTAGGGTTGTGGAGATTGTAGTGCTTTTATTGATATTATGAATCGATCAATGTCAGATTGTCATTAAAAACCTGGAAGCACTGGATGGCCGTCTCATCCTAGCATGAGGCTCCTCAGCAATGCATAACTCAATCAATCCACGATATTGCGCGACTGTATTCAATTGTCTTTAGTGGGTAACTACCTCACACCCGACAGAGTTAAACTCCCAGAATTACCTATCGAAGCTAGTCACTAATGGGCACGTAGTAATTATCAGTATAGGGTTGTTGAGTTTGTTGAGTTTTAGTCGAGATCATGAAATGGATTCTACAAGTCATATCAGTAATAAGTTCACTATCTTAAGTAATGTGGGATAGTGTTTGTTAATGCAGTTTCACTTTCTAAAACTGAGTTGATAAGCATGTAAACTGTCAGTAGTTTTATGTCGTTTCTCATCCAGTCAACTTAATATCTGACATTCTGTACCGTAAAGTCGAGTTGTACGGGAAAAATCAACGTGGTTTTATTTACAGTAAAAGAGAACTAAATGATTAGAACATGACTTTGACATAGTTTTCGCCTGGTAAAGTAAAAGCGTTTGACGATGTACTTCGTCTTTTTGCACACTTGGAAATATTCCCTTAACTATATCTCAGCTTTTATTTTCTGGTAAATGCTTTTTTCAGAAATAAATAATATCGTTTCCTTATGGCATAGATGCTACTGATACTTACTTACTTAGGCCTGTAACCTCACCAGGATTCTCCATCTAAATCTGTCCTAACAATCTTTTCCAATTGTTCCCAGTTGCTATTCACTTTTTTACGTCTGCTCCCGACCGTTGTTGCTACCTTGACGTAGTGGTCGGGCTTGCCTATCGTGATGAAGCAACCGAGCCATACTGGCTGGAACAACCGTTCCTCAAGGTCTTACCATATCAGACAGGTCGGTTGAAGAGCGGTAAGACTAAAAGCAACAAACCTAATGTCAGAAGGCTGTACAGAGATGTGCCTTCCCACGAGGAGGGGTGGGGTTAGAAAAGGTCGACCCTAAAAATGCACACCTCACCTTATCCCACGGATATCCGTCTCCGGCGGCAAGGTTTCAACAAGTACGGAGCTAACACAAAAATTACCCATAGAAAGGTCGTGTGTGACCGACCTCAAGAAGTTGTCCCTTGGGCACTGCGGTCACGCTCTCAGGTCACTAAGACCACCTCTAATCCAATTTCTTTTTCAGGTACCTCTGGAAGAACCCTTCGATGGTGTAGGAAACCGGGGAGTGATAACCGCCACCATACCTCTAACAGCACTCAAGACCACTGTATTCATAATCAACCTCCCTCTTCAATTCCTATTATTCCTCCTATATCGACTTTCAACTCTAAATTTCCTCTTTCGGCTTGCTCCTCAAGTGTCACCATAGTCAACGATCCTAGTGCTCAAAACACTGTCCCAAGTCTACTGAAACCTCGCTCCAAACTACACATTGGAGCCTTCAACGTATGAACCCTATGTCAAATCGGTCAGCAGGCTTCCTTGGCTAAAACTCTAGAGTCTCTTACCATTGATGTATGCTGTGTCTCCGAAACACGCATACAGGATTTCAGTGTGGTTATTCACTTGACCTCACCTCGGCAAAACGGAGAGCCAACGAGATACACCCTCCATGTATCTGGTAACCCGATGGATAATTCTCTTGGACTGGCAGGTGTAGGAATAGCACTAAGCATGAGGGCCGAACAAGCACTGCTAGAGTGGATCCCCGTCAACAGTCGTCTATGTGCTGTCCGACTAAACGGCTCCGTAAGAACTCGGAAGGATAGGGAAACACGTCGTTTCCCTTTCGTTGTTTCTACCTACGCTCCCACTAACTGCAGCTCAGATGAAGTGAAAGATGAATTTTACGGAAAGCTGTCCGAACTTCTTCAGAAAGCTAAACACTCAGACATAGTACTCGTAGGGGGTGACTTTAATGCTCATATAGGTAGTTTAAACCAGATAGAAAAGCATTTAGGTGGATATTTTAGTATTCCGACACAGCGAATAGATAATGGTGATCTTCTGCTGCAACTATGCTCAGAAAATCATTTATTTTTAGCAAACAAATTTTAAGCATAAGGAGAGACATCGTCTGACATGGCGACCCCCTACACCAAACCAACGATGAACTCAAATAGACCATATTGCCATCAGTCATCGTTGAAGAGGGTCGGTACAAGATCGTCGCTCATTCTGGAGTACCTACTTGGACTCCGATCATGCCCTAATACGGGCACGCATCGGCTTGCGTCTCACTGGACGCAAAAAAGCTACATTAAAAAGACCCGTTAGAACTAAGTTAAGTGACGAGAAAACAAAAGTAAATTCCAGGAACAACTGAGGTCACACTTAGGTAGTTCTGAAAACGAGGCTGACCCAGAGGTTGCTTGGAAAGGCATACAATCAGCTGTGGAAACAGTAGTGACATCTATTAGTGACTTAAACCACGGATTTCTTCAAGGTCTATCACACTGATTGATTCTCGCAAACTAGTTCGGTCAGGTTCTGAACATGATGAAGAGCGTAAAGAAATCAGATCTAGGTTTAAAAAAGTCTAAGGAACGACCGTGAGCAGTGGTGAGTAACGAAAGCAAAAGAGATGGAAAAGGAGGCGACTATAGGGAACACAAGACAGCTTTACACACTAATAAAAGAAACTGGAATTAATAAATCAAGTGTAAGTGAGATTATTTCGAAAAAATACGATACTCTCATCTGCTCCCAGTCCAGACGTTTAGAAAGATCGGCGGAACACATTAAAAAGCAGTTCAGCTGGCCTCCAGCTACTCTACAACTACCCATCATTCCCAGACAGTGTGAATGGAAGATTGAAGTAGGTCCCCCAACTCTAGCATAAGTTCAAAAGGCTATAGCTAATCTGAAACGAGGAATGGCAGTTAGTTCAGATGGATTGTCTCCAGAGGTCTTTAAGGATAGTGGTCCAATTTTAGCGATTAAGTTGACTAATATTTTGGCTAAGATCTGGGAGTTAGACGTTATTCCATCTGAATGGTCAAAATCACTTATCGTCAAAATATATAATAATAATAATTTATAAGTGTTAGCGGGACATAGACTGGATTAAAGCATGCTCAATGCATGATTGCTTTGGTGCACGCTGATTGGCTAATTCTTATCCAATCAGCACTAGTCGATTGTTGGAGAATACTCTGGAATCTTCTTGTGTAAAAACTATAAATATACTGACGTTTTCCCTATTGTGCTTCTGGCTTGCATCTTGCTTCCATCTAACCTTGTTATTTGGAATATAACCTCTTTCCTGTTCAACCGTGTTCTGATTTGGGGTCTTGTCGAGTGAATCGGTGTCGAAGAATACTAAGCAATAGGAATAGCTGGGTTATACCGTAAGAAAGAGATTATAACAGTGGCGACGGGAAAAAAGGAAAACAAATTCAAGATGCCCATATCAGATGACCAGCTTAACCGAATACTACAACAACAGCAAGCACAACTTGATGCACAAATGCGGTTGTTGGAGACTCTGACTCAACAGCTCAGTATCCACAGCTCGAGTTCACATGCTATTTCAAGTACGTCTTGTGATGCAGTTGCTAGCAGCATCCCAGAATTCATCTTTGATCCCGAAAGTGGAAATACTTTCCTCACGTGGTTCAAACGTTGGGAAGATACATTTAGAACAGAATTCTGTAACCAAGACGATGCGTGGAAGACCCGATTGTTGGTACGTAAGTTGGGAAGCAATGAACATGCACGTTTTGCTGACCATATATTGCCAAAGTTACCTCGAGAGCTCAGTTTCGAGGAGACGGTAATTCAGTTGTCAGAGATATTCGGCGAGTCATCCTCTTTGTTTAGTATTCGATATCGGTGTCTAAATTTGGTGAAACGCTAAGCTGATGAATATGGTGTTCTAGCAGACATCGTCAACAGAGAATGTGAACGTTTCAAGTTACACTCGTTGACAGAAGACCAATTTAAATGCTTAATATTCATCAAAGCTCTTCAGTCACCACAAGATGCTGAGGTCAGGACTAGACTTTTAGCTCGGCTGGATCAAGACCCAAACGTCACACTCAGAACATTGACAGATGAGTGTAAGCGTCTACAAAGCATCAGACACGACAACCAGTTGATTGAACAGGTAAATCCTAATTTAACCTGCGGTAGTGTAAATACTATTACTAGGTTAAAAGTTCAGAAGCCGGTAACAACTCGTAACAAACCAAGGACTGCATGCTGGTTATGCTGTGATTGGCATTATGCACGTTTCTGTCCATTCAAGAAGCATAAATGTCAGGCGTGCAACAAACGTGGACATAAAGAAGGTCATTGTCCACCGAAGCGTACGTCTCAGCCTAAGAAGAAGCATAAACGTCCTCGACTTGTGAAATCAGCCGAGTCTAAATCTCTTTCTCTGGTAGCTGCCTTTCAAACAAACTATGACATTCGAAGAAAGTATGTTACCATCCAGATAAACGGCATATCAGCTCGTCTTCAAATTGACACGGCATCAGATATCACGTTAGTGTCTAGAGAAACGTATAACTTGCTGGGTAAACCGCCAATGAAACCATCTAAAAAAACGGCTAAAAACGCATCAGGTGGTGTGCTAAAACTGGTTGGTGAATTACAGTGTGAATTTTCCTTCAATGGAACTAACTGTACAGGAATATGTTACCTAACAGAACGACCGAAACTTGATCTTCTTGGTCTAGATATGTTAGACAAACTTGTAATAATGGATGTACCAATTAACAGTGTTTGTAACGTATCGTGTTCATCATTGGACACCCCAGTACTTCCAAAGAAGACAGGTGAAAGGTTACCAGGAAAACTGAAAAGAAAGATACCAACACATTCCCAT